CAGTAAATAATACTGTTTCACTGTGTGATATACCTAATAAACAAACTAATATGGAATGACTTCCCAATAATCTATGGTGTTACTCATTGATCGATTAATGTCACGAATTGCTTGTCAATATGTGGTCACAGACTCTAGTTATCTCTATTTAGCATCCTTAATTTGTTGATGAATCTAATGCATGAAACTTCTGGGAGTTGTTGCTCATTTCATACATCTCCCTTTTTTATTCCTTTACGTTCCCAGTGGAACATGGGGCACCTTCAAGCTAGAGGCTTGAGGTTTCGATAGCAGTGGTGTTTATTTTTACCTTCTCTCTTTACCAGTCTTATTACTGGCTTAGCGAGGTGTAGGAGTGCGTCGGTGGCCGAGATTTGAACCCCGAACTACATGAGGCGTGATCGGCGAGCATTCTACCACTGTGCCACTGACTCAGCTCCCAAATACTTCTGGTTCACTTCACGTCTACAGTTGTCAGCATGCTCTGATAGGAATAAATCTGCACTGTGACTCTTCTCAGTGAACAAAGAAGGAGAAGAAGAGGGAGATAGATACTGTCTATGCATCATTATTTCTGGTAACTGACCGTTAACTGGGAAGACAACTTTCATTCATTCACATTACTTTAATACGGGACAATATAAGACTGTTCACTGGAATACTAGTCTCACTCTGAGATGTGAAAGAAGCCAGACTGAGAAGGCAATATTTATTCCTCCAGAGAGAAAAGCAAATGATCAGAAGAAAATATAATCAATTAACATGATCAATAACTTAGAAGTTTAAGTGTTTTAACAGGTCAATAAGCTCTAAAATGAAAATTCAATAACACAGCATTTGGCCCCCGTTAAGGCCGAATGTCTAGACGCTGGCTTATATATACATATATACAGAACACTGATGTCCATCTTTACAGTATGCCTCACTTTGGTATGGAAGGTTTAGCAGTTCAATGAGTATTCTATGCCTGCCTGTGACCGTATGTTTCAGTGTGCACAAATACGTTATTAGAGTTTAGCGTCTAGCGGTTACAGTATAGCTGAATTAGATACCAGAGATCATGAAGAGTTGATCATCACATGGCTGATATTCTGCATAGCCATCATTCGATTATTCAATTTTTTCCCTCGTTTACTCAAGTAACTTTGTCCCCTGGTGATAATCTTAGGAGATTAGTGGGTTTTAAACACACAGCTGAGTTTCAAAATCATTTATGTTCAATCTGTATGTCTGTATGAGTACACATTCTCTATTTCACTAATATTTCATGATGAGTCCAAAAAGAAACGTCTAGTCCTGCTTCAATGATGAAATAACAATTTCCAACGTGTCATTTACTGTCTACTGATTCTCAATAATTATTTTTTATATCGATCGTGTTATTGATTTTCTCTCAAATTGATTAATTCACGTTTTTAACAGTCAGATGTGAAAATTTGAATAGAAATCGATAAACAACTTCAAACTTCTCTTCCATACATCTTCCAAGATGTATGTGTTGTCATACGAATGTCTGCGTTTCTCACTTTTTTTCGAAATTGCATAACACACAACATTCGTATCAAAATGAATGACAACAGTTCATAAATATTCCTTCAGTTTATCGATTTTTTTGTACTCTCTGTAAAATTTCTGTTGGAGAGATGATTCTGTTTACACATATATTTGGCTGAGAATTCTTGAATACTCTTTTTTGTAAATTGTTCAGATCAGAAAAGGTTCTGATTCGATATCACAGATTCCAGAATTTCCATACGCGGTAACCAAGATGAGAGAATATCATAAAATGCGAATTGGCCACGCTAGGATAGTTAAATTTTATCCCCCGACAACCATTCAGAACAACAGGATTATAAAGCTCAGAGTCTTTGATTAATCGTCAGTATAAACCACAATCGCAATAATTTTTTTTGATTATACCTTGACTCCAAATCGTATTTTTGGTGCAAGCATGGAATTTTTAGCATATGATATCGGTAGCCCAATTTTGCATGCTGACCATTGATATCGGGTGTGCATAGGCGAGCATGGTCGGCGAGAGTCGTAACTGCTGTGCCACCGACTTCTGATCGTGTTTCTCCAGTCTTGTGCCAATCAGCGTATGATTAGGCATTGTCATTTCCCGTCTAATGGGGACGAGTCCAAATAAAAAACCATGTGTTGCTCATTCAACAATGTTCACCAAAATTGACAGTCTTGATAGACTACATTCTGAAGTTTGAACATCCTCATTGGCTTATCTTAATTAAGAGAAATACTTTCCATCTTCTTTCGATTTTTGTTTTCCTTCACGTTCCCCAGTGGAGTGTAGGGCTTCAGGCTAGTGGCTTTAAGTTTCTCTAGCAGTGTTTATTTTTATGGGACGAGGTTGCTAACCTCATGCCCAACCTTTCCTCTTTACCAAACATCATTTCTGGCTCAGCGAGGTAAAGGAGTGAGTCGGTGGCCGGGGATCGAACCCCGGACCATGTACATGGTCGGCGAGAGTCCTAACCGCTATACCACCGACGCACATCTTCTTTCGATACTTCTTCTTTAAAGCTGTCTGGACTTTGAATCAGTCATACTTCAATTTATGATTGGGAAATCATCATCACCCGGAACTATTAAGATGTAATTCTTCGTGGATTTCTTGAATGTCTGCTAGTCTTCTGTGATTGAGTGGTGGATGATTTGGCTTTTCTTCCACTCCCCCTCCCAACTCACACATATGGAGGATGTTTGTGTTTGTGCTGCATTACAATTACTCACCTACTTGTGATATTGTCAGTTATAACTGTGGCAGATTGTTGGATTCTCATCTCATCATTCACATTCTCTGAGACCTTTTTTCGGAAACTTGACAACTGGAAACATTTTTCCCCTCTATTTATTACATGTGTTCCATTTTTCCAATTACCAGGTCTTTCGTTCTGATATTGATTTTTTTCAACTAATTCAGTTCCGCTTCAGATCAGCTGGTTCTTGATGTCATTAGACTACAGATAACGAACAATCTGTCCTTCTAACGTTATTCGATCGAATACAATGAAAACGGCAGCTGAATGTCTCATTCGACGAGCAACAACCATAACAAGCATCTTACGCTCTTAATTGGTGGAATGAATGATCTTAGTGGTACTGGTGTGGTATTTCGCTACTGATAAGACTTTGTGAGTAGTATATTACGTGTGTATGTGTCAGTGTGATGTTTTCTGAGAGAATATTGAATCACTATTCAATATAGAAGGCATGAAAGGAAGGTAAAAGAAGCACAAAAAACGAGGAATATGCGCAAAATGGAGATTTTAGTGTGTTTGCCTCTTGTAATAATAATAATAATGATAATAATCTACTTTATTCCAAAAACAACACTACTTATAATACAGAATGGAATTCTCAGCATTTGTCACAATATTGCATCTAATTTGCTCAAAATATAAATAAAATTAAAAATTAAAACGAAATTAACCGGAGGAATTTGTCCACATTTACCATATAAAATCAAAAATATTCGAAGCATGAATTGAGATTATTTAATATAATAATAATAGTAACAGTGAGTTTGTTTCAAACAGTATTGGCGATTCAGTTTGGAAACTTTAGCATGTTATAGAGGATTGAGTGTAATGTTCTGTTGATAGAGTATGGTGAGAGGAAAAGTAAAATTAACAATTATAACACAGCTTAAATTATGTTCAAACTTATGAAAAAAAATAAACAAAACAAAAAATTGAGAGGATTATAAATGTATGAAATACAATAACAATAAAGAATGATGCTTTAAGGGTAAAGGAAATGGTTTATTTAGTAGTGCAAACAAGGTTAGTTAGTTCATTTCTGATACTATTTTCATCACATAGATTACGTGCTAAATATGGTATAGTTGAATTTTTATACGTGCCTAAAGTCTTCTGAAAAGACTTCTTGTTTCACCTGAGGAGACTCAGGGTTGGAGCTGCTGGTAGAGTGGGTGCTCAGAGTCTGACAAAATTCCTCTAGCGAATCTGTTGCATGACATCAAATGCCTATCAGTGACAATGCCAACGATATGGCCCAATGGGATACTACTCGTCCTACTAACAGTCTTCAGAGTTCTACGAAGTATGACATAGTCCTTTTTAAGCAATCCAGGAAAGAATAATGGTGAACAGTGAAGAAGAATAGGTAAAATACACGAGTTGATAAACTGTAAGAGGAGTGGTTGAGTTATGCCTGAGTGCCTTAACTTCTTAATGTAAAAAGTCAGACGAAATATTCTTTTAGAAATCGCTAAGACATGGGAAGACCAGGATAGATCAGAAGAGAGAATTAATCCAAGATACTCACTTAACTTCAGACTGGGTTTCTCTATCAGTATCATCGATTTTGTCAGGTATATGTGTGGTGAGAGATGCTTGCTAGCCAAATTGGTTGACATAATTGACATTCTATTGTTACATTTGGTGTCGCTGCCTACCGACAAATGGAATGGTCACGTTGAGATGGGGTTACGCAGACACAACCGCAATGGTAAACACAGAGAAACAAGTGAACATCCGCAAGCGCCAAGATTCCAGACAGCACGGCAAAAGACCAAAGCCCCAAAAACCGAGAAGACCGAACCAACTTCAGTCACACGTCTTTGACGGGGGGGACGAGTGTGGTGAGAGATGGTTGCTAGCCAAATTGGTCGACGGTAATTGAGGTCAAGTTCAAGATGGACAGGCGGATACAGAACTGACACAGCCACAAAGAGATGCAAGGTTAACTTTGTGTGAGAAACAACCAATCAACAGACTGTATTTTCTACTAACGTTAACCTACAATAATGTACATTAAAATCTATAAATATGTGTTGATTTTCCCTTGTCTTATGCTGTTACATATGTACATCAATCTGTCAATATAAATAAGTCTGCAACTAAAACATCATCATGTTCTCTCGTTACACTGGACTCACTCAGTTGATAATCAAATATGATTGAAATTATCATTATTATCATTATCGAGTTTACAATAGTGAAGGAGGATGAAGTAATTTAACGACATTGATAAGTGTTGGCTAATGATATCGGTGTATTGAGTAACGACTGAATCGATGATGATGATGATGGTGATGATGGGGATGGGGACGGGGATGTGGATGTGGATGAAACCGCAGTAAGTGAATCGTACGATGATGTCGATAAATCAGCCAGTAATAATGATGATGATGATGATAATAATGGTAATGATGATGGACTATACAACAATGATGGTTAACTTGATGGTGTTTTCGACGACTCCGTCTTTTCAGTGCTGATGATAACGACGATGATACCGATGAAGACGAGGAAGACGAAGATGATGTCGACGATGTTGTTGATGATGAGGAGGATGAAGATGATGTCGACGATGATGAGGAAGACGTGGTGGAGGATGAGGAAGACGAAGACGATGATGATGTTGATGAGGACGAAGATGATGACGAGGAAGACTTGGATGTTGAAGATGAGGAGGTGGAGGATGAGGAAGATGAGGATTTTTTCGCTACTGCCGCTGCTGCGGATGATGATGGGGAGGAGAGGAGGGGGAGGAGCGTGAGGAGACAGACGAAAAGAAGACGATGATGATGATGATGACAAAGACGAGAATGAATAATAGCGCGATGGGGATACTGATGAATCAGGTGATGATAATGATGATAGCGATGATGCTGAGGATGAAGGTGATGGAGATTTGGATACTGTTGCTGGTGCTAGTGCTACCGATGATGGTGATAACAGTGCTGGGGACGATGAACAAAGTACAGGTGATGATTTACTACGTGATAATGAAGATGTATCACTTCGTAGGGATGGCAATGATATAAATGACAGTATTGATGACAGATTAAATAGTGACATTATTCAAGCCAGGAAAATTAGTGACTCTGTTTTGTGCTTGACCGATTGTCACTGTTGCACTTGGAATGATAACAAAAATAGAAAACAAATTTATAAGTGAAACAGTATAGCAGAGGTCTTTCTTTACTTAAAAGTAAGTAAATACTCTAAACTACGGAAGAGAAGAAAAACAAATCAGACTAAAGCTTGTAATATAGTTGGAAAGAAACCCTTTCTTATCTGCCTTGAATAATAAGAGGGGGATGAAAATACAGGGATACGCTGGACCGCTAATAAGAAGACCCTGGAAGATCTGGATTTCCTGTCTGGATGATATATGTTTAATGCTACACAAACTCAATGACTTACAGGCGAAACCCAACGATCCGGTAAAAGAGGCAGACAGCAAAGACAGGACTTCAAGTGGAAATAGAGAAGACGGGGGTGATGAGGATAACCAACTAACCAACAGCAACAACAACAACAACTAGACTCGGTCACCATCAACGGGAAAAGATTTGAAAGAGATTGCTTCCTTCAATTATCTTGGAAGCATGGTTTCAACCACAGCCAGGCGGAAAGGATGAAGATGTCAAAGCCAGTCAGGTAGAATCGGAAAGGCAAGATACGCCTTCATCAACAACCTGAAACCAGTTTGGAAATCTTCTGCACTCCGTGGCATGAAGAACAAGATTCGGATTTTCAACACAAATATGAAGTCATTTCTTCTATACAGGTCAGAAATTTGCAATGTACGTCACGAAAAGCACTTCCAACAGGCTACTGCAGAATTTCATCAACATCTGTCCCCTTCTCTGGCTCCATACTTAAGATGAGATAGTCAGCCAGAAATAATTAGCATCAAGAGACTCTGTGGGTGAACCAACCATGAATCTATTTCTCAGCAAATATTCCAAAGAGAATGGAGATGGACTGAGCATACGCTGAGGAGATTGTTGAATGACACCGCGCACCAGGCTATCGGTAGAGTGAAACCGGATTGGGAACGGGCAAGTGAGGCATGCGTCCGAGGGTGACACGAAAGTCTTGTGAGGAGGAGATGACAGATTATGGACAATCTTGGTGCCAAGAAGCTGAAGAGGAACATAGATAACAGGACGAAGTAAATTTGTGCTGTTGAATTCCTATTTTCCATTCGAAACCCGAGAGAACAATAAAAATTTGTCATAATCACGTATAAAAAGGGAGCAGTAACAACAAGAATCGAACTAGTAATCAGAATTCCATACAAGCAGACATAGAAATGCTCATTAACTCGTTAGAAATTAGACAGGTATCCTGATCATATCAACTCCAGTTTTGATTTACCAATTGACGAGTATTTGTTATAGCAAGTACATAAGAACGACTAAAACTAGAGCGACTGCTAGGTATCCTAGGCACATTTCTAACAGTCTTCATATAAAAAGTAGAAAGGTGTTTACCAGTACGACCGCTAGGCTACTGAATGGCAAAGAATGTAGAGCTTAGAACACTCAAGCCTTTAAACTCATCAATACACAAATAAAATATTCGCCACCTCTTTTTGGAGGATTGTAAATTAACCTATGTATATACAAGGATAGTTTAATTACCCTCACACTAACGTAGTAACTAGATCTTCCTTCTTATATTTTTGATCTTACTGTGTCACAATCAGCAGCTGATTTTGATCTTCATTGGCGCTGAGCTTAACTCATTATTAAGCTTCCAATTTATTTGATTTTTTGTTTACGTCATAACTTTACCTTCACTGACCGTATCTTTTCACTCTTTCCCTCTCCTCTCAACTTCTGAACTCTCCGTCATATTATTATTTATTATTGTTTCCTTTAGTTCCTAGAGGAACATAGGGCTTCAGCCGTGCGTCTCCATTGCGTTCGGTTCTCTGCCAACGTTCTCACCCGGCTCCAAGTCTGCTCACATGCTTTTATCTCCACTTCACATGACCTCCTCCATGTCACCCTCGCAATGACGACCAACTCGCCTCTTCCCGTTCGTGTTCCACTAGAGAGCTTGTCTTGTGATATCATCTCCGTCATATTACTTATCTTTAAACTCTGGTTGTGCAATCATGGAATCTCTTGTATTCATACCTTTTTTAATTCCTTTACGTTCCCAGTGGAACAGAGGGCTTCAAGCTAGAGGCTTGAAATTTCCGTAGCAGTGATGATTATTATTTTTACAGGATGGGGTTGCTAGCCTCATTCCCGACTTCCCTCTTTGACAGTCATATTGCTGGCTTGCCGAGGTAAAGGAGTACGTCGGTGGCCGGGGATCGAACCCCAGACCACCTACGTGGTCGACCAGCACTCTACAACTGTGCCACCGACGCACGTATTCATATCTATTGTTTCATTATTATTCTGAGAATTGTAAAATGTCCAATGGGGTGAAATAATTCCCAGTTATGTTATATTTAACTACAGGAGGAACGGACGAGGATGTCAAATCGAGAATCGGGAAGGCGAGAAACACATTCATCAACCTGAAACCAATCTGGAAATCTTCGTCACTCAGCCTGCATCAACAACAAAATGATTCGGATTTTCAATACAAACGTCAAGTCAGTTTTGTTATACGGATCAGAAACTTGGCCAGTGTGTCACAAAGAATATTTCCAACAGCCTGTTGCAGACCTTTATCAACAACTGTCTTCGTTCTATAACTGAAGATCAGATGGCCGGAAAGAATCACCAACAAGAAACTATAGTAACAAACAAAACAAGAACCAATCGCCCAACAAATATGCAGGAGAAAGTGGAGATGGATTGGACACTCGCTGAGGAGGCCGTTGGGTGACATCGCGCATCAGGCCAGTGCTCGAGTGGAACCCGAAAGGGAAGCGGCGAGTGGTTCGTCGGTGCAAGGGTGACATGGAGGAGATCGTGTGAAGAGGAGTTGAAACAGTATGGATTAACATGGATGCAGGTGAAAAGTACAGCAGAAGACAGAAGCAAGTGGAGACGTGTAGTTGAAGCCCTATGTTCCACTAGGAATCCAAGGGAACAATAATAATAATATGTTATATTTATTATTATTATTTTATTATAGCTTGAGTCCACACAGTATTTTTGATACAAGTATGGAATTTTTAGCATGTGATATCGGTAGCCGAAATTTAGCAGGCCGACCATTGATATCAGGTGTGCGTCGGCCGGAGATCGAACCCCAGACCATGTGCATGGTTGGAGAGAGTCCTAACCGCTGTGCCATCGATGCACATTATTATTTAGATTTACTTGTAATGAAATGTGTCATTTTTAGGATTTCAACAGTTGAAGAAAAGCCATGAAAAGGAAGAGAGAGCTGCATTTGTCCTGCATATATATTCCTTCTTGTTTTGTTGCAAATATTCAAGGGAAACAGGTGTCTCGAACTTAGAATATTTGCTTACTTCAATTTCCTCCGGATTATGTTCAGTCAGCGCCACCTAGCCGCATAACACGTGACGGACAGTTGTCATCATCTGAAGTGATAACAACCAGAGTTGTTCGTCAGAGATGCTCAGTGTCTTTCATTGTTTAAAATTTCATCATAGAAGTATTCACAGGATGAACCCTAGCTGACATTAGGGACTAAAAGATTTAATTGTTGCCAGCAACGATTCTCGCCAACTTAGAGCATGCAGTTGACATTGTCTTCCTGGGCGAAGACATTGAAAAAAATTCCCAGTCTTCTAAATTCCTTTAACAGAAATCCTGGAATGTTTGGCATACGATTCGCCAACTTCTTTCAAATGTAAATGGTGCTACAGAACTGGTCTGCGTCGACTCCCAGTTTAAAGATTGCTTGAGTATACTGACCACTTTACTCATTTAGGAAGTTGTATGAGCCTAAATCGACTGACTAACGACCGATTCTGAGTACAGATACAAAAGTCACATGTGGCATTTAACAGCTTAATCAAAGGACTTACGCACTAGCTCATTCCATCCTTCTTTATGTGTTTGTAAGATACTGCCATTGAAACTGGAAGACATTAGTAGGCTAGCTGTCTCTGACCACAGATGTTTGCTTTCTACCTCACCTTCTTAAGTGGTGTAGTACGGTGAGTAATACTGAAGTTAAGCGTATAGTATTAGACAAGGAGGGCAAGTCAATCGATATGGATGTGAAACTGCATCGACTGGGATGACTGAGACAAGAACTGCGCCTGCCGAGCCACCACCTTCATCTACGATCAATCTTAGCTAACATCGGATTAGGTTGTAGAGGAATTAGTAGTGATCAAACTAAAACCTGACCTCAGTCCATGAAGTCTTTCATAGATGATCTTAGCCACGTAGGGAGGTGTAGACTGCCACATGTGTTAAGAGCCAATAGATGGAGACCCTGTGAGTCGATATGGCTCAAAATCCTTCTCAGTGGCACAGATACATTCCTCCTTATTAATCTCTCAGATCCATTCAATTCTCATATTTTCTCATGTATATTTCCGTCTATCATAGTTATTTTGAATTCCACTTTTCTACTTAATAATAGTAATAATAATAATTTGCTTTATTCCAAAACAGTACTTGTCATACAGAATGGAATTCTCAGCATTTCACTACACTATTGCATCCAGTTAGTACATTACCAATAAATAGAATTCTACATAGATTAAGGAATCTCAGTTCATTATGACAACAACATATTGGGATGTCGGTAGCAAAGCCAAAGCTGAACAGTGTTTGAAGGTGTTAGAAAAGTAGGTGCTGTCATATTTACTGGCGTAAGCTAGAGAAAGAAACAAAGCAGCACAAAACGGGAAAAAAGAGAGAGAATAGGAAAAGAAAGAAAGAAAATGTTGTACCTATAAATGATATGAGTTGGAAAGACGAGGTCCAGTTGTACTACTGACTATTTAACGAATTATAGGTGTCACGCCTAATGCTTTCTTTATCACACAGAACACGAGCTAAGTAGGTTATGGTTGAGTCTTTGTACTTGCTGGTGCGAGCATATAGTTTCCTATACAGGCTTCTGGTTTTGCCTGATGAGATGCAAGGGGACAGTTGTGAGTGAAGAGGGTGGTG